GACCACCAGCAAGGGTCCCACCAAAAAAAAAAAAAAAAAGAGAGAGAGAGAGATCGACAGAGATGAATTTGATGATAGGAGATTGAGGTCACGAGACAAGGAATGCAGGGGACCTAGAGAAGCAGAAAAAGGTGAAGAAATGGATTCTCCCCTAGCAGTTCCAAAAGGAACCAGTCCTGCTCACATCTTGATTCCAGCCCAGTGAAAGTGGTAACACACCTATCAGACTTCTGATTGACAGAACAGAAGGATAACAGATTGTGGTGTGTAAGTCACTAAGTTTGTGGTATTGTGTGACAGCAACAATAGAAAACTACTGTATGCCTTATTCCCTCATCTGGAAATGAGTGACTCTCATCATTTTTAGAATTCACCTCTTGACCTCTCAGAAGTCCCTGAGGCATCTCTGTAAAAACCTTGAATCCAGACCAAATGATCTCTAAGGGGAGGGAATCCACAAAAGAGCTCCATGTCAGACTGAACTTATTTGGTCTTATTTGGTATCACCTGCCCTTGTTTTTTACAGTATTTCGCCATCAAAGCTCTAATTTTTTTTTTTTAGTAATAAAAATAACATCTGTCCCAAGTTACTAAGTAACTGGCAGACCCCAGTGGATAAGAGCATTAGTGTCCAAATCACATCCACTTCATCAGACAACTCTCCCCCAACCACCACTCTGCCCACTCCAGGGGACTTCTGCTCCAGTGGTGAAGTCATCAGGGCCACCTTCCAGATTTCTGAGTCATCCTTACCACTGCAGCTCTAAGCAGCAACAGCTGGACTATAAACTCAAGGCTGCTTAGTCCAGCCATGGAAATTCAGCTGGGGCTGAAGGGTCAACCCCTCCCATCCCCCCGCTTTCCCCAACATCTCCACGCAACTGCCCTTTCGTCTCCGGGGAGCCATGCACCCAGTCAAAGGACACGCTGCCAAATGTCATCGATGGGTGCAGTGACAAGCTCCAGCTACACAATGAGAGCTACTTAACTGACTGCCTCTGTTCTCAGAAGGGCATTTGAGAGCCCTTTTATAATTGAAATATTTTCATTAAACAAAACATCTGGGGGAGGCAGCTACTGTCTAACTACATTGTGGTCTCGATAATAAGGTCCATGCAGGGCTTCATGGTTGCTGTCAAGATGGGTTTGTTTTGGAGTAGAGGCAATCTGGAGCCTTTATTCTAAAGGCTTCATTTCCTAATTCTCCTAGTAGCTGGAGAATGTGTGCTCCCAGCAAGAGCAATTCCAAGGGATGGAGGCCGAGGCAGCCCAAGGCAGACCCAAGAGATAAGAGCTGTAATAACTTTGGACAATTGAAAACTGAAGAGCACTAATTAGGCTACTAAGAAGATCTACCCAGAGGTAGAAAACATCCCTTTTAAATGCAAGAACATCTGTACACCCGGACATACACTAGAAATGGTCTGTGCCCACAGCCAAGGTTCATGCCCAGGTGCAGCAATCAGTCCGACAGGATGAGGACTGCTCTATAGAGAAGGAAGCCTCTTCTAGGGTGGGCAGGTCAGCAAAGCTCACCCCACAGGGAATTTTATCAGCCTTTTATCATCCTGTCATCATCCTCTCCTGTAAAATATGAGATCTATCACAGATGCCTGACAAATGACAAAGAGAGACCATAACTCTGCCTTGGAGAAATGTGCTTCAGACAAATGTCACAGTAATTCCTAGTGCCACAGAAACCCAGCAGCAAACAGTCCAGCATGGGCACAGCAAGGGTACCAAGGAACTTCCCTCTGAGCAAGGAGGGTAGGAGAGAACTGGGCAAAGGAGATGCCAAGGGCATCAGGTCAAAGATGCCAAGGGCAGCAAAAACCAGCCTCCAGCCCAGCCCACATCTTCCCTCTCATTCACTGTAACAGAAGTGGCCCATCTCTGAGTATCTGTCACTGAACACCACCACTATGAAGGAGAACAGGAGGGAGACAGAAAAGGACGCTCCGAAGAACTGGGCAAATTGAGGGAGGCTCCCTGATGAGGCCTTAAAGGCTGAACCTCAGGTCCAGAAAAAATATCCTGGCAACCCTGGCTGGTGGGAGACTTTGTTCAAAACCCTGCAAATCTCATAAAAGTACAGTCATGTATTTGGCTTTCAAAATAACAACAATTTTAAAGATTAACAACATTCTGTGCTAGTGAGGGCCCTCACACAGTTGTTAGGAATATAAATTGTATCAATTTTTGAAAGGAACAATTTTAAAGGGACCTATCTTTTGACTCTGCAACTCTACAGAAATGCCCATAATGGTCTACAAATAATTATTATGAAAAATGTTTATTTTAATATTATTCCCCCAAAAAAAAGTGGTTGGAGAAGGGGTAGAGACCCCACTCAGCAATGGAAGAATAAAAGGTTACAGATCTTTTCATGTAAAAAAAGTAACAACATAAAAAAATAGCATGCAGTCCTTTAATAAGGGATAGATTTGTATGATCACTGAGTAAATGTCTAGGATATATAAGCTTTAAATTATAGTATGCAGAAAAATTTAATATATTATCTGTTTTTAAAAAACATATAGGACTTCTCACAGACTAAAGGTCACGAGGACTTTATATAATACAGAATCCTGATACCATCTTGAAAATTTTTCTCCTCAAAACAATGCTAACAAGGTTCACAATATCATTTACTTAAGCCAGGTAAAATATGTCTGCAAGGAAGGAGGCTGAAAACTTGCAGACTCCCAGCTAGTTATTGCTTTAATTAGAAATCATGCCTTTTAGGCTGGTTTTTAATATAGAGAAACATGCCTCTGAAGTTTCCAAATGAGGAAAAGAATTGTGATTGGTTGTCCCCATGGACCCATAAGTTCAAATGAGGTAATAAAATAAGTAATAAAACGAACTGGAGCACCCCAGTTTGCTGGAATAGTGATGCCTATGGAGATTTACCACAGGCTGCAAGCCAAATCCTTTGGTGTCTCCCACCCAACTGCCCAGTGAGCAATTGGGACATTTTGAATGACAGCATGACAGAATCTTGCCTTAAGGTAGAGGCAGGAAGCAAGGATGGATGCCCTTTGTATCTGTATACTGTCAGTACTGCATCTGTGTCTCTATCTCCTGGCATCCTAAAATGTTACGGTGCAATTTTTCCTTTTTAAGGTACAGTGCAACACAGAGAAGGGACACAGTCCCAAGTCTGGCAACCCTATGTCATAAATAGGCCCAAGAGGTTGGACTACTTGATGGGAATGTGTGGAAATGATAAAGTTGCTTTCTTCCCTTTTTACACATCTTTTTTCTAACTTTTCTTTAAAAAAAAAAAAGGATGTAAATTACCTTTATAAATTTGTAAAATAAAAAGACATTTTAAAGAAATATAAACTAAATGTAAAATACAAATCAAAGCAGTTTTACAGGCAAGAGTACACCTTTTTTAGACAGCCGTCCATCACCTTCCACTGTTTGTTCTCTCCCATGATCACAAATAATTAAAGACCCCAGAGAGGAAGACTTCTGCAGTCCCCCAAAAGCAAAGAAATACCTTCTGCTGTGTTTACCTGCAAAGGTTGATAATTACAGGACACCAAGGTGAACAGTTACAGTGCTTGCATTGGCTCAGCAGTGACTTTTCACTCACTGCTCTACAAATAAGTTGGTTTTATAAAAGCAAATGCAAGAAATGACATTGTTGCATTCATTCAACAATGTCTAGCGCACTCAAGGCTGAGTGCCCCGCCTTGGAGAATAAGGATGGATAAAGCATAATCCCTGCCCTCAGGGGTTCACTGTCTACAATTAAAGTGTCTTCAGACACAGGTGAAAGGGGCCACTTCAGGCAGCATGAATGGCCAGGATGAGAACTTCTATTTGAAACAGCTCTCCTGCAAAGCAAAAATCACCTCCCTCCTTTTCTCTGTTGAGGAAATGGGCCCAGAAAAATAGAAGCTACTAGTGTTTGGTGTCTGTGTGAGTAAACCAGGCCCAGGTGATGTGCACAGGCACAAAGGGACCACACTACAGACCAGGGACATGATCAGGCTCCCACTAGCTCCAGAACCTTAACTCTGGTTGGAAAAGCAAGCATAACGAGGAGTTGCTTTGGAGATCTATTTCCATCCCATGGAGGGTAGGTTTATCCCAATACTCCAGAGAGGAGGTAGGGGTGTGGGTTTCATAGAGTCATAGCATGATTCCTCTCTATTACTGCTGAAAACCTAAGAATGCTTTCCTGGCTGCAGAAAGACTAGCAACTAGCTTAATTTTGCATTGGGGGAATGGCTTAGCCTAGCCCAGAACTCAGCAGAGACATGAAGTGAAATTCAAGAAGCCTAATTGAAAACTTAAAATTCATAAAGCACTAGAATTGTTTATCTGGAACAGAATAGATGAATAACCCTGAGCAGAACAAGGCTGTGTGATGATTGTCTTTGACACAGAAATTCCACAGAGCGGTCAGAAAGGACTCTTTAGAACGCGCTGAATCAACACAACCCCTCACCTTCTGCTTTGCTTTCATGAGCCTCCAAGGACAAAGTATTAGCACTGGCTCTCAGACCACCAGCAGGGCCCTGCATGGGGGTTCCCAGGCCTCTCCAAGGGGGCAGGCATTAGGGTAAGGCATGATAATATGAGGAAGAACATGCTGAAAGGATATCAGGCCAAGGAAATAGCATCTGCATTTGCCACCATAAAGAGTCATTCCCTGACAGCCCATGAATAAAGGCCAGTGGTTCAAGTATTACTTGCCAGAGAGGGGAACTGGGCATAATGACAAAGAAGAGCATCAATCCTTCTGTGTTTGGCTGTGGAAGTACTCCAATGAGCCCCGTTATGACTGCTAGGGCCCAGAAGTGCCATGTCTAGAGCCACAGGTGCCATCTCCAGCACTCTTGGAGCTGGGTGTGAGAGAGGCTGGCTACAGAGGCAGCCCATGACCTAGCATGGCTGGACTCTAACTGCTGGTCGAAACCCCTCCAGCCACCAGACTCCAGGTTTACAGTTGCTTGCGAAGTAGAAACACGGAGATTACTCACGGTCTCAATGAGTCGATCTAGGAACTGTGGGCAGCCAAGTGTGGAGGGGCCTGGGCCCAGTCCAGGTGTTACCCTGCAGCAGCGCACTGGTGGAGAGAGATGACATGTCAGTGCAGTTCGCCGGCTTAGCAGATGAGCAAGGTTCTCCACCACTAAATGACACTAAAGGGGTTACTATTATAAAAAGGGTGAGAAAGGAAAGCATCAAGTGGGGTAAATGTCTCAGGATACTGTGTAGTGACACAGCTGGCAACCCTTCTGCCTTCCGTCTTGGGGGAGGCACCACCCCACTACCAGCAGCACCAGAGCAGCTTCTCTCTGCAAATCGCCCAAAGTAACATCTAGATCTTCAGTTGCAAAGGGCACCTGGAGATAATCTGATCCAAGCCCCATGCTACAGATGAAGAAAGACAAAACTCAGTAGAAAATGCCTTGCCCCAAATCAGCAGCAAGTACTAGCCAGGCCAGTATGGAATCACAGAATGAAGTCTTATTATAAATCTTACATGTGCCTATAAATTACCTTCCAAATAAAACTCACTTTCTAAACAAATGTTATTCTTACACTGAACTGAGAAGAGACGAAACAGCCTGGAGTTCCAAATCAACCATTCCTCTAGTTCTCTCTCCTTAATCCCCAAAGACTTGTAACAGTCAAAATGAACCTCCTGGTTTTCTTCAAAAACAAAATTAACAGGATAAAACAGAATCTTTCACATTTGAGCACAAGGAAAAAAATCTAAAAACTTGGAAGAGAAATCTAAAGATAAGAAATAAAGAGCAAAAGAAAGAGAAGAAGGAAGGAAGGGAGCAAGGGAGGGAGGGAGGAAGCGAGAGAAGTTGTTCACTTCACATGTGAAGACCACAGAGCAAAAATGAATGTTCCTTTTCCATAGATCAGGTTGGAGACACAGACTTAAGAAGTCAGAATCCGGGGGCCACCCTGGTGGTGCAAGGGGTTAAGACGCAACCTATGAAGCTGTTCGCAGCCTCTGCAGCACTAGTTCGATCCCCAGGTGGCCAGGGAGCTACCCACGTGGCATAGCAGACCTCTCCTGACTCACCTGCTGCTCCCCTCGGCAGTGTATTTCAGTCAGTCTGCCTGTTCTGTTCCCTACTCTGTCTCTGGTGAATCCTCTCAGGCCCCCATACCTCTGGTTGGTACCCCAGCTCTTGTATGCAAGAATAAATCAATCAAAAAAAAAAAAAAAAGAAGTCAGAATCCTCCTGGGAAATGCTCAAAGACCATAAAGGTGGTATATTTTAAAGATTGGTGGACTAAGACCTGTCAGTGGTCACTTTTTGGTAAAATGAAATGAATGATCAAAACACTGATTTTCTAGGAAATGGGTTTTCCAATCATGGTTTTTAAATTAATTTTCAACTCATTATATATTTAAACCATAGCTGCCTAAATAATCACTGCTTCCCCTGGGATTCGCGTTCAAGCTGACCTTGAGAAATCAATGTAACCTTGATGAAATCCCACCTAACCCTGCGAATCTTTAGTCAACTCATCTCTAAAAAGGGGAGTGTGGTCAGGTTAAAACTGAGGTGTCCTTCAGCTAGAGAATTCTAAAGGGCCCATCCATTGCTAGAAAATGCTGAAAGTTTATACAAAGCATAATTACTCACCTACTTTGAAGAAGTGAATGTCAGTATAAATGTAAATCAGCGAATCTCTTAGGAAATAGCTACAAAGTTGGTATAACAAGAGCTGCATTCAAACAAGAGTTTGTTTCAACTGAGACAAATCTACCCCCACCTTCACTAAATGAGTATTTGGACCCTTTCTCCAAAGGTCCATTATTATTTATAAGGCAAAAGTTTGGGTTTCTCTTATATCAAGTGGAATTAGGCAGTGAGGTCATTTATTTTGAAATTACAGAAACCATTCCAATTTTTCCCCCATTCTTGCACTCTGGTTACTCTGCATCAAGAGGGACATGCAGATTTCAGAGCAAATGCAAAGCCAGCTAGGCCACCCACAGTATAGTCAGGGATTGTACCCTGGACAATTGGAGGTGAATTTACTGTTCATTTCCCTTTCAACAGTTAGGCATGCTCAAATGTAAAAAGCTAAGGCAGACACAAGGGCAGACCAAACACATTTCAAGAAATCAACAGTCCCAGGATTCATTTGGGAAGAAAAAAAAAAATCAACCCTACTATAATGTCCACATTATTCTTTAACATAATGGAGAGAAGGATCCACAAACTCCTCTGAAAATATGACAGATCCTTGTACCTGAAAGAAGAATACAATGTATTCAGTTTCAAGGGGTTCATGAGCCCCTGAAATTTCTCTCTGAACCTCTGGTGAAAGACCCCTGCTAAGTTAAAATGTTAAAAGCTGTCCTCTTCTATAATTCTCTCTGAACCTTCTACACTTTCTTTGCAAATGGGGTTTGAGTGGCAACCCCATTTACAAAGTGACATACATGGGCAGAAGCCAGAGAGAAAAATGGGCCTCTTGAAGCATTTCTGGTGAAAAGGTGACCTCAGTTAGCAATGCTGACAACCGCTTGAAAGTGTCATCTCCTCCTGGAATCCTTCACTTCTTAATCTCTACAGGGAACTTCCCAAAGCTGAATTTGTGCTTGGTGCTCAATTTTCAAAAGTTAAAAATAGACATTGTTAAGGAATGTATCAGTTGTAAAATTAAGAAAAGCAAAGCAAAGTTAAGAAAAATATTAAAAGTTGAGAAATTTGTCACCTCTGAGGCCCTGGGGAGCTTCCTTAACCCTGGCCTTGGCTTCATAGGGTGTTTATTTCACCCTTTAGACACCCATGAATACATTTTAGATTCTTTTCTATGAGTGTCAGAGAGTAAATAATCCATTTCTTTAAAAACATTCGCGTCAGTGACAGGGACCTCCAAGAGTTACTCAGTCTCAGGCCCAGTTCAAGACACACCAATTAAACTGGAGGGAGCCCAGTGAGCTGGAGTGTTTGTCAAGGGGTGGGGCGCGCAAGAAACAGGAGTTCTGGCCCCACAGACATTCTATAAATACATTTTCATGTTTAGAAGTCCACGCCCTGGGACCGTCCTCTGCTCCGGGCTGAGGTCTTGTTGACCTCCAAGGCTGCTGGTACTGGTCTCCGTGAAGACAGTGCACGGTTCTTCCGCTTGCACAGCCAGCAGGCCATTTCCTGTGGCACATTCTGTCACCATAACAATCTCAGCGAGTCTCCCCAACAGCTGAGAAAGAGGCAAAGACCCAGCCACCTCTGCAGAACTCAGGGGAGCCACTGGCCACCTCTTCCTCAGCTTGGATCCACAGCTTTCCACAAGTCTCCTCCCTCAGGTCCTTAGCAAGACTTTCCCTTCCTCGTGAGAAGGCTGTCATTCGGTAAGTGGTTGTCACCACTGGTCAGAAGAACAGGTGGGGTGTAAGGAGACAAGAACAGTAAGTCTCAACTCCACACTCTCCCTACATATACCAATATTTTCTGAAGCAAACAAGGAAAGGATGCTGCTTTCCTAATAATTTGAGCAAGAACATGCCATCCAAAAGAGAGCGCCTTTCTGGAGCCTCACAGTAGACAAAATTGTCATTTTTATTTTTTAGCTAAAATAGCCAAAACCATGACACCAGACAGTATTTCACCCCGATTTGGAGTAACCTGCACCCCTTGCAGGACAGACACATAGTAGCTTTGTGCCTAATAAAGGAAATGTAATAATCCCTTATCTCCTGCTAACATTCACTGCTACTCTCCTAAGCTCAAGTCTGCGGTTTAAAAAAAGTAAAGCAAAAACCAAATTCAGAATAAAGAACTCACTCTCTAATATGTCACCTTCTTCAAAAGTCAAACATCCTATTTGGATGCTGCCTTCTCTCCTAGGACAACGGGCGTGGTTTTCCTGTGTATGTGTGAGCGTGAGTGTGAGGGTGTGCAAGCACACGTGAGTCTGCATATGCACATGCAAGCCCAACATTCTTCATGATTGACTCAAAACAATAGCTTTGCAGGGAAACCACGACTAAGAGCTCAGGAAAAGTAAAGGCCTGCCAATTCCAGGACAAAGGGTTTCAGCAGCTAACAAGGGAACAACATGATCTCACAGCCCTTTCCCACTGAGGCCATGCACAAGCGGGACTGTCTCAAATTCAGAGCGCTCACTTACAGGCATCGTCACTGTTTCCACCCTGGGGGACCCACACGGGAGGATGGCCAAGCCAGGAAACAGATTCCAGAGGTAGCTTTTTGATGTTTAACCCAGACAATCCGCAGACAGGGGCTCCTCAGCCAAGGAGGGGGCCGAAAAATCTCCACAAGGAAAGAGACCCTGGCTTATCCTTAGGGCATTAGTTCTTCCACCCTAAGTTAGTTCTTTTAAATCAAGGGCCTGGGCCAGGACTCAAAGTGGAGCCTCTAATGAGCAGGCCTGCATCTCCAGGGCGCTGCACTGTGCTAAGCTGTAATTCCTAGTGATTATCTCTCACACGCCAGGAGATCTAAGCAGGCAGAGGTCACATGTCCCAGGTTCCTTGTGTCTCTGCCCCCAGCATTATCACACCAGTAACCCCGAAGGTGAAGGGATTGACATTCAGTCCTGAAGGGGTGGTAGGATGCACGCATGACCCCCCCATGTAGCTGTGCTTCTGCAGCCCCTCTTTATTTACTCACACCTAAGTGCCAACCACTGTGCTAAGCACTGTGCTAAACACTGGGAGAGCAAGGTGCAAATCAAAAGGTTTTGCAGATTCCCACATCCTCCACCATCACACACACATACACACACACACGCAAACATGCACGTGCATAATTGTACTTCTGGTATCCTTGGAGAGAGGAGATAAAGACAAAAATGCTCTTAAATGAATTAATATTTAATTAACCCCAATAGTTTTTACATGCATTTTTAAAATACAAATAATAATAATAATAGTAATTCCAGAACATTATTAATTTATTCTACAGGGAATACCTGACACATGAGGATTAAGGATCCCTTGAACAACTTCTACAACACAATTAAATGAGCTGCTTCTGTTCTACCCCCAACTGGTACTGGGGTGGAGGATAAATAACAAACGAAAATAAGACATTATTTTATGGCAACAGACTTAGAGAGGCC